TGAGGTCATCAAGCTGTGACCTGGTTGTCCAGCTAAACTCCACCCCTTCACTCTTAAATCTCAAATTGACATCAGATTATGTAACAACCACAAGGTGTAATCCATAGGAAGATTGTAGCTTTCGATCATCTTCAGTAATTGCTCCAAGTTCTCTTCATTTTCCAAATGCAATATTATATAATCTGCATATCTCTGGTTTTTAGTAGACTTGCTCCAATCCTGATGCCCAGTTCTTCTTCTTCTTACAGTCACGAGTTTCTCAGATTATTTCTCAGCATACACATTGAATAACATATCACACATTTCCTGATTTAAAATCAGCAGTGTTCCCTTGTTTTATTCAAAGGACTGCCTTTTGGTCTGTGCACAGGTTCCACATAAACACAATTAGGAGTTCTAGAATTCCTATTCTTCACAATGTTATCCTGAATTTGTTATGTTGCACGCAGTCAAATGTCCTTGCATAGTCAATATAAAACCATGGTAAACGTCTTTCTGGTCTTCTCTGCTTTCAGCCAAGATCCCTCTGACATTTGCAATGATATTCCTCATTCTGAGTCTGTCTTGAATTTCTGGCTTTTCCCTGTGGATCCACTGCCACCATTTTAGAATTACCTTCAACATGTACTTGCATGTGACAAAATAATATTCTTCAATATTTCTACATACTTTTGGATCACCTTTCTTTGGAATGGATACTTAGAGTTGCTTGGCCAACTTTCTGTCTTCCAATTTTCTACATATACTTGAGTGAGTGAGCACTTCCAACGTTGTATTGGTTTGTTGACACATTTCAAGTGGTATTCCATCAATTCCTAGAACTTTGTTCTTCAACAAAGTCCTCAGTGCATCTTCCTTCAATACCACTACTTCTTGGTCATATGCTGCCACTTGAAATGTTTGGAAGTCAACTAATTATTTTTGGTACAATACCTGTGCAGTCTCTTTATCTTCTTTTGATGTTGCCTGCATCATTCAATATTTTCCCTTAGAATCCTTCAATATTACAACTCAAGGCTTGATTTATTAATTCTGGATTGTTTTGTTTGTTCAGCTTGATAAATACAGAATGTATTCTTCCCTTTTGGTTTTCTAACTCCAAGTCTTTGTACATGTCACTATCATAGTTTACTTTACCTACTTGAGTCACCCTTTGAAATCTTTTCAGTTATTTTACTTAATCATTTCTTCCATTGATTTTCACTACTCTACGTTCAAGAGCAAGTTAGAGTCTTTTAAGACATCCACTTTGGTCTTTTTTTCTTCTTGTCTTTATAATTACCTTTAGCTTTCTTCATGTAATGGCATCATTGATGTCATCCCACAGCTCATCTGGTCAGATAATCAGCATTCAATATGTCAGATCTATTTGAGATGTTCTCTACATTTAGATGGGCTACGCTAAAGATACTAGTTTGGCTTTCTGGACTTGTTTCCTCTTCAGGTTCTACTTCAGCGTATATATGACTGCAATTGATGGTCTGTTTCACAACCTGCCCCTAGCCTACTTCTGACAGATGAGATGAAGCCTCTCAATTCATTGAGTTGTTCTTTCCACATATGTACTCAATTTGATTCCTTTGTTTTCCATCTGATGAGGTCCGCATGTGTTATTGTCATTTGTATTGATGAAAACATATATTTCTAATGATAGGTGATTGGTTTTGCAAAATTCTACCATAAAAACTCTGATATCATTTATATTAATGAGGCCATATTTTTCAACTTCTGATCCTTCATTGTGTCCAACTTTGGCATTCCAACCATCAGTAATTATCAATACTTCTTGATTTCATGTTTCATGCATTTCAGACTTCTGAAGTTAGTAAAATCCGCAATTTCTTCATCTTTGGCATTTTTAGTTAGTGCATAAATTTGAATAATACCAGTATTAACTGGTACTCGTGTGGATATTACCCTATCATTGACAGTGTTTCACTTCAATATATATCTTGAAATGTTCTTTTCATGATAAATGAAATGCCATTTCCTTTCAATTTGACATTCCTGACATAATGTCGTTGTTGTCCTTGTTAGGTGCCACCAAATTGGTTCTGAACAATAGCAACCCAAGGCACAACAGAAACACTGCCTCCTCCTGCACCAGCCTCACAATTGTTCCTGTGCTTGAGCCCATTGCTGCAGCCACTGTGTCAGTCCATCTTGAGGGTCTTCCTCTTTTTCACTGCCTCTTCACTTTACCAAACAAGATGTCCTTCTCCAGGTCTCTCCAGACAACATGTCCAAAATCTGTAAGACAAAAGTCTTGCCTTTAAGGAGCACTCTGGCCTTATTTTTTCCAAGACAGATCCGTTTTTCCTTTCAGCAGTCCGTGGTACTTTCACTATTCTTCTGCAGCACCACAATTCAAATACATCACTTCTCCTTTGGTCTCCCTTAGTCAATGTCCAACTTTCACATGTATATGAGTAAATAGAAAATACCATGACTTAGGTCAAGCAAACTAGAGTCCTCAAAGTAACATCCTTCTTTGCAATACTCTACCGTGGTCTTATGCATCAGATTTACCCCTTGCAGTGGGCCTTTTAATTTCTTGACTGCTGCTTCCATGAGGATTGACCATGCAGCCCTCCTTCGTAGAAACAAGTGCCCACTCAAATATCTGGGATGTCTTTTCAAAGTCTTTTCAAAATTAACTCCCAACCTTTACCTTTGCTATAGTTCACATCTTGATAAATGTTTCGTTAAATATGCAAAATCATACACCACTGACCCTGAAAGTGGCATTACTATACAATGCAACTGTAAATAATTAAACAATCACTTTTAAGAGATATTGGGATACAGATTTTCACTTCATGCAGAATTATTTTTATCTACTCTCTTGTTGTTTAGTTTGGTTTTGGTCAACATTTTGTAGTGAGCTAATAAAAGTACTTAAATGTTTTTCCTTTTCTTTCACTTATGTGGTAAATATGTATGTAGTGAAACATACATATTCCAGTACAGCATTCTTCACGTGTACAATTCAGGGTCATTTATTTTGTACATTGATGTTCCTAAAGATAGTCCTAATTTTAAACATTTACAAAGCATTGATTTCTCATTGTGGCCCATCCTCTTTTTACAATTAATGAATTTATGACCAGAGGAAATCCCAAAACTAGGTCTGCAATTTTTCCTTCTTATACTGATTATCAATTTTTTCTAGCCAATTATTCCTCTAAGACCATTTTAATTCTCCTAAATTCAGCCTCTTAAAGGTAACTGGGGTCTTCATTTCTCCTTTCAGATAAGAATATGACTTATTTGGGGACAAAAGATTCAAAAGCAGAAAGAACAGAGAATAATATGATGTGTACATTATATAATACACAATACTACTATGCATTATGTATTACATACTGTATGTAATAATAGAATAAATACATGGGTGATTATCTCATTTTAAAACTATTGTAAAAATTAAATCTACATTATGGAATTTTGTAAGAAATTAAATAAAGCATTAAAAACAACGTGTGGACTACTGCTTTTTAATTCTT